ATCAAGCGTAGTTGTGTCTGGAAAGGAAAACCCCAACTTTGCGGACACCCTATATAGTGATACTGATATAACGGTATATAGTCCGGAACAGTGATTTATAGAAGGCTAAATTATTCCAGTACATAACGAGGCAAGATCATATCGTTAACTAGTTTGGATGACTGTATATCACCGTCCCTGATAGTCAGAAATTCATTGATGGAAAGGACCGAATGTTCAACTAGTTATTTGCTTTTAGATCAGGATTTGCTCTGGCCACATCAAACATAGACAGCTATTTAGAAAATCAAGTGGAGTTGAAGTACTATTTCAGGTATTCCGCCATTGCTGCTGTTCGATGAAGACAATGTTTTTGTATTCTAACTCTGCAAAATTGCGAATTACAGATTACAAATTACTAATTAAGCTGAACCGTTAATCTTTACGCCTTATGTAATTTATCCCTTTTTTAACAATAACTAACTCATCAACTACAATTGTCTACTTTAACAAAGAAAAGAACGTATGCCTATGAATTGGTTTGTCACTTTGAAAGGTAATGGTAGCAAATCTACTTAAATCTACATCATTTTGGAGAAAAACAATACCTTGTAAACATGTAGGCTTGGTTCCCAGCTCATTCAAATCCGTTGTGTATCGAGTCTAAGTTAATATTTAGTTTGAACATACTTTAAGCCTAAGACTACCTTGATTACAATTATTTACTCATGCATACCTATTTGCTAAGAGGATACTGTAATTAGCCGGATTGGGTCGGTTTGATTAATTATCAGTGATGTGTTTGCGGTTTCCTAATCATATACTGGGATTAATAATAATGTGCATGTGATACGCTGCACAAGTAAACCTCATGAATCACAATCATGAAATCACTCTGTTTTATGATTACACATCGTAACCCCCTTACTACAAAAAAGCGTTTTTTAGTACCTATTTAAGTATTGATTTCATTCATTTTAAAGAGAAGTAACGGTATGAAATCATTTATTGAAGCTATACGGAACGCAAACATGGATAACAAGAACATAAGATTAATAACCAAACTTTATAAAAAGCAGCTAGGCAAGGTTCGTGTGTAAATGCTGACTCCGACTCTTAAAGTGCAACGTGTTTTCCGTTGATCCAGTATACTCAGTGAAGCCTCTTGTCGATGGTGGCAAGTTTTCGAAATGTAGTGATATCTACGGATGTTGTGGGTACATAATATAACTGACGCTATAGCTCACTGTTTATAAAAAGACCTTGAAACCTCAACCAGCTTCAAAGAGAGTAAATTAACATATCTTGGACATATAATGAGAGTTAACGATAAATACAGGATTACGCAGCTAATATTAAAAGCGAAGGAAGAAGGAAATGTGGGACTACAGTATATTCAGATAAGAGATAGACCGGACATGAACAAGACCACGTGATCATCGAACGCTGTAACATTCGGCAGGGACGTATTAAGAGTCACGCAGTACATATTTTAGATAGTAGATGCTGCTTTGCGTAACTTTGTAGTAAATTAGCACAATTCGATGTGTATACGATTGGTGATGGATATAGGATCATATGGGGGTGGGGTAAGAAATATATAATGATGTAAATATACATAAGGGTTTCAAAATTTTCGCTTCGATTTCCAGCTTCGGATGCCGCATGATGTTTGGTGAAATACAGTCGAATATAATCTCAAAATTAAAAATAATAGTATATCTCTTAAAATTGCTTTTAGAATATTGATAAGTATATTTTTTGATTTCTAGGTAAATATGTAACCAAATTAAAACGTTCAAAACGTAAAAAAATGTGCATGGTTGAACATTGTCAGAAAGTAGATTCTTGAATAGGTTTTGCCAAAATGGGTTCAAAAATGTCAATAATTAATTAAAAAATACAGTAGCTTTATAATTACTTATAACTTACCGAATTTGATGAACGACATCTTTTATTGGAAAGATGAGCTTGATGAGCTTTCATCATCCCTACTGCCTGAAGCACCAACGTCAATAATGAATGGCTCGACTTGTTCCTCTAAAATATTGTCCAGTTCCCACATTCTCTTTTCAACTTTGTCTTTCACGTGCTTAATACAGTTTTCCCATTTTTGCGCTGTTATTAATTCTAGTGCTTCTTTGAAAAGTCCTTTGAGGTCACAAAATTTAAAAGTTGTATTGTGCTTAGCTATATAATTTTTAACCTCTGCCCATATGAGCTCAATGGGATTGAGCTCGCAATGGTATGGAGGTAAACGGAGCACAGTTTTATTTTGACTTGCTGCCATTTCGTCAATGGCGTATTTTTGATATTCCGCCTTGTGATCCTTGACAATTCTTAATAATTGTACTTTCAGCATTGCTTCTTTAAAGTTGATATTTTTCGAGCGGAGCCAATTTTGAACATCAACTTTCCTTGAAGCCGTTGTTGGGACCTTCTACATTCTTCGAGTATGATAAGGCGCATTATCCAACACAATTACTGCGTTTTCCTCTAAGTTCGGTAAAATTTTTGAAAACCACTGTTCAAACGATTCGCCATTCATTTCCTCGTGGTAATCTCCAGTTTTCTTAGACTCAAAGCACCACAGACCGTCAACAACAAATCCATCCTCACTGCCAATATGGCAGATAATGAGCCTTTTCCCTTTACCTGGAAATCGAAGTACTAACTGGTGTAGATTTATTTCAATAAGCGAACCTTTTTCAAATGTTTTCATCACATTCAGCGAGAAAACATTGAGACATGAGTATCAGATTGCTATAATTGGGATTATTTAGTCATATTGAAAGAAAGACTATTGAACGTCGTATGATTACTCAGCGCTTCACAATTTAATTTAAAGTTATAAACCTTTAAAGAATGAATGATAAGGAACCTGAAATACGCGCAAATATTAATATTAACAAATTATAACTTTATAAAGCTTAAAGTATGAATTAAAATGATTAGAAATATTAGGAACGGTACACAATATAAAACTTAGTAACTTTTTTTAAGTTTATAATATTCGACATATTTTAAGATTATATTAAAAAATTATTGAAATATCGAAAACACATAAAAACATGGCTTAAAAAAGTTCTAACAAATGAAAATGACAATAAAACATCCACGCATTTTATCGAAAGTTATAAAAGTTTTGTTACTTGTAATATGTTTTATCTGCCCCCTGGAATTAATGTTTAGAACCTTGAAAAACATCCTATTGTTGTCTATTACTCGTATTTACCTGCTGGATTTTTTAATCCGGTGGACAGTCCATCTAGAAAGGCCCTCCTGGATGAAGTTACAGAATCATCAACCCATACTTTACTTGTAGTGTGTCCTGCGTTTACCCACGTTTCATCAAGGTAATAAATCTTCCTGTTTTGATTTCTATATTTCCCAATTTTTGTTAAATAATCCCTCCTCCATAGCACAATTTCTTCTCTATCCAGTAGTAAACTATTACGACCTCGTTTTTTCCATTTGAAATTTAAATGCTTCAGTAACGCATGGAAAGTTGATCGTTTGAAATTTGGCAACATTGTATCTCCATTTACCTCCTGCAGTACTTTATCTATAGTAGGCATTTCATTCCTAAAGAAGAATTCATGCACTTTCCTCCTAATCGCATGGTTATCAGCTTCATCCAATGATTTAACAATACTTTTGCGATGTTTACTGGTCATTGGCTCAGAAATGGTGTGATTTTTTTTGTATTGTCTTAACACATTAAACACTGATGCGCGACACACCCCAACTTTGTGAGAAACCTTCACAACAATTTCTTTGATGGTTGATGCCTCGTTCTCCTCGCGCTCGATCTTATATATATTCAAAATGACCTCTTTCATTTCTGCACTCAGGTGTCTTTTTTTAGAACGTTTCCTAGGTGGACTACAGGAGTTTACAACTTCATCGGCAGTATCTGTACTACTGGGCATTTTGCGCAAGCAGTTGATAACAATAACAATCAATAACAAGGTATAACAATAACAACGACAAACTCAACAACTTAATAAGATAACAAACGAAAACGTCCAAAGAAATATCAAATTGCAATGATGCACACGACATACGTAACACGTCTGAACCTGAATGTGACTCTGCCTTGATACGACTGCTCTGCCACTCGGCATAGGCATTTAATTGCGAATTGACCAATGAGTGCTCCTGTTTTACGTCGAGACGGCGGCGTTAGCGTGAAAATCACCCGAACCTTTTGTTTACATCCGGTCTATCTCTTATCTGAATATACTGTAGGTCGCCGCGGCATATCCTGGCTTAGGAATCTGATACAGTGGATACGTTTAGCAGGGCTATTTTGAACAGCTGCTAATAAAATAAGTTGGGCCATTATCGCCACCAACATCCATTTATGGTAGGCAGTGGAACGAGAATAAGAAGAAGAGAATCACACAATCTGTGTGCATGATACGCCATACTTTAATGCTTATGAAACAGGAAAATTGGAGTTGTTGTAGAAACAGTGAAGCATAACACGCTGAGTACTGCATACTTTATTTCAAATATATTTGGTAAGCAAATGCCGTAGTGTAGTTATGTTTCACATTTTTCTGTTTGCCATTTGCCATCAATTGGTAACAACTCATGGACAGCGTGTGCAAAAAGTGAACCAATCATATTATGCAGTTATTAAGCTGAAGTTTTGCTTATCAGAATCAGCTTTGCTAGATGTGTATTATGCTCTCGTCCACCCACATTTATCAAGAAACATCATAATTTGGGGTCAATCAACTTCAATTTCTAGAGCATTTGTGTACCTACTATGTACTTCCTCTTAGGACGAGTCTTATGTCATTTTATGATCTGCAAGACAATAAATGTATCCATCTATCTATCTATCATTGAATATCGTTACAAAAATTTGGGATGTGTTTCAAAGTGTATGTTTCATGAGAATTGCTACATTAGTGTAGCCTTCATCAACATATACCGGGTAATATGGAAAAACCTCTAGGAAAAATATTTTTGTCAAAGAACTATGAAACTAGTAAGGCGTTGCCACTTACCACTATAATACGAATGGGCGATGCAGAAGTATCGTAGGCCGTTAAAATGGCATGATTTTGTACTCTGTTCATCCAAATTGCAGTCACAGTATCGTTCGTAGCCCATTCGACAGCTGTCAAAAGAGGTTCCCTAAAAAGGATTTGCATATGTAACAGTTGGATTAACTCTTCCCAATTGAAGCAGTGCAAGGTACATTTTTAAAACAGGCAGCTATTAAAATGAGCCGGAGTCCTAATGCTTCAGAACTAACGAGAACGCTGAACATAGACTCCTTGAAGCAATGAAGGGAAAATTTTGATTTATGTTTTCTGTTTAAAATAGTTATTGGTACCATAGATTGTCCAGAAGCGCTGCATTGATAAATCTTAATGTCAATGAAACAAACTGGCAATACATAACTGTTTGTGATCCCACACCATTCTATAAATTACTCTTACACTCTAGGAAAAAAATACAAAAGTAATTATTTGTAGCAAACTGAAGGTAAAATTCGAAAAATTGCACGTTTTGAAAATAAAACTCCTGACGTACTATTTTTATTTTGAAAAAGAATGCAACTAATCCCCTGTATCTCCGCCACTGGTGCACGTTAATTTTGAGTAAAGACTTCTGAATATTATGGACAATATTTAAGTAAATCCACATACATTTTAGTTAATTCCAGTTGCCGGTTTTGAAGATATGAAAAAAAAATTTAAACTTCAACACCCCGTATCTTTTTAATGAAGCACTCGAGCAAAAAATGTTACATAGAAGATTCCCCTTAAAATGCGGTCCTGTGTATGATGTTCATATTTGGTTACCTCTTGTGAATCACCCTATATAAAGCTAATGTAATCTGTCACATAAACATACTTATTTTTATATCTGATGGGGAAACCGTAAATAAATGTTTGTTACCTTGTGAAATTATTTGGTACTTCCAATCGGTGCTCAGTTTTTGGATCACTTAGACTGACATAATGGAAGCTTACTGTTGGATTTGTTGTTCCAGCCTAGAAATAGAAAAAAGTATATTAGAAAAGGTTGGTTTTGGCAACTAGTAGCTAAATAATCACTAATAGTTCACAAATAGCCACTAAGAGCATGTTTAGTACAAAACCCGGGTACACTGGGTTTGGGCGTTAATGAAAGATAACGGTTGGTGGATTGAGGTACCCAAAGGTCCACCGATGGGTAAATATAAACTCCCCGGAAAGATGGTACTGTCGCTTATGTGTCGAATGCATTCTTTGAGGGAATTAATGAAAGTGATACATGTCTCTCAAAACTTCAGAAAAAAGTCGCTTGTTATTTTGCAAAATATTGCAAAAATTGATTATCTTTTGTTTTAACTTTTTTCCCCTTATAACAAGTGGGTATGATTCCAGATCTCGCGGGGGCGAATCATAATGCGGTACGCAACGTGAAAAGGGTGGGGGATGTCTGCCAACGGCATATCCTTCGACATCGGCAGTCTCCATTGTCCTCCACCACCAAAAAAACCTTCTAGCCGATGAGCGACGGACCATCTTTGATCCCTGGAAACCACAACCAACCAACCGTCATCTTTTATTGATGCCCAAACGCCCAGGACACCTGGGAGTGGAAAATCTTTTTCCCAAGAAATACTAGCGTTCCTACTACTTGGGCTATATATATAGGGTGTTTCAGTTTATTGTTGCATAACTTTAAGATTCGATAGAACTTTTAAAATTAATGCATAAAGTCTATATAAACATGGGTCAAAAAATGCGTGGCTTCCGAAATACAGGGTGTTTAAATTTACTTTCTAAAATAGTTTTTTTTAAATATTTCGAACAATATGTGATGTATATATAACAGTGAAAATTGGTATACAAGGGTTTTTTGGTACGACAAAACGAACCATGGGCATAGTTTTACTGTAGCCGCTAGAGGGCGCTCTCTACTGTACCTGTAGTGTATTAAAATGACCGACAATTTTTTCTTAGTGCAATTTTTTGCTTTTTGAATGAAGAAACTGATTCTTCGCACTTTTCAACATAAAAAAGCTCTCTTGTGAATTTTCGTTATACTTAGCCGTTTTTGAGATATTTCGATTTTTAAGGTTCGATGCATTTTTAATTATTTATGATAAAATAACGTTAAAAAGTCAGTATCTCGATAATCTTTAGAAGTAGGCTGTACCGACAAATATTTTTGAAATAGAAAGCAGAATAAGGTTAAACGTCAATTAGTTGACAGTTAGTTTTGTTGTCTGTTGAAACCTGAAACGTTTTTTTGCAATTGTGAATGCACGAAATTTAGTTTCTTTTACCTGTTTTTTTTGTAAGTTTTATAAAAATGCCATTTTTATTCTCCAATCAAGAGTTAGCGGATATTCATTTTGTGTATGGCTTTGTAAATGGAAACGCAGCAGAAGCAGCCAGAGAATTCGCACGAAGATTTCCAAACAGACGACATCCAACTCGCTCAGTATTTGTAAGAGTGCATTGCCAAATAATTGAAAATGGTTTTGGAAATCTCCAAAGGGACCAAAACATAAATGTTCGTCAGCGCAGATTTACCCGTATGATTCTGCGTGAGTTTGATAGAGGTCCGACCACAAGTGTTAGGAGAGTTTCTGGTGCCATGGGAATTTCAGCAAGCCTTGTTCACCGTGTTCTTAGAAATGACCATAGACGTCCTTACCATTTGCAACCTGTGCAAGGACTATAGCCAGGGGACGGAGAACGAAGAATCACATTTTGTCAGTGGATTCTTGATACACGATCCCCTGACCTAAATCCATTAGATTTCTTTGTGTGGGAATATCTAAAAGAAAAGTTTACCAGACTCCCGTAACCACAAGAGATATGCTAATAGAGAGAATCAGGAATGCATGTGATGAAATAAAGGCCTTATTTGAATAATGCTATACCACGTTCGATCATTCGTAGATGTGAATTGTGTATTGAACAATTGGGCTTACATTTCGAGTAACTACTTTAGATTTTGTATGTTTGTCCTAACTATCCAATAGCATTTTAGTTGTAAATAATTAATTTAATTTGTTAAAAATAATATTGGAAAATTAAACAAATTAATATTCTTTCTTTTTGTGTTTATTTGGACTTAGGAATTATTGCTGTGTTTAAAAACACAATCTAAACGATCATCTTAATTACTTGTAATGCAAAAATCGAAAATGTAAAAAAAAATATTATTTTCCCATAAATAATTAAAAATGCATCGAACCTTAAAAATCAAAATATCTCAAAAACGGCTGACTGTAACAAAAACTCACAGGCGGGCTTTTTTATGCAGATAAGTGCGAAGAATCAGTTTTTTCATTCAAAAAGTAAAAAATTGTACTAAGAAAAATTTTTCGGTCATTTTAATACACTACAGGTACAGTAGAGAGCGCCCTCTAGCGGCTACAGTAAAACTATGCCCATGGTTCGTTTTGTCGTACCAAAAAACCCTTGTATACCAATTTTCACTGTTATACATCAAATATTGTTCGAAATATTTAAAAAAAAAGCTATTTTGAAAAGTAAATTTAAACACACTGTATTTCGGAAGCCACGCATTTTTCGACCCATGTTTATATAGACTTTATGCATTAATTTTAAAAGTTCTATCGAATCTTAAAGTTATGCAACAATAAACTGAAACACCCTGTATACGAGTATAATGGCTATATCTAAAGTTATAACTTAAGGGTGATTTTAAACTTAACTATAGGTTACTTGCTACATTTAACTTGAAACAAGAATGTTTTACCTACACGATATGAAGTGTGGGTATCAATTCTGTAATTAATGAATCAAATAAAAGACAATCAGTATTTGCATGTTTTAAAACTTATAAGTTACTGACCTTAGGATATTTGACTAAGTTTCCTCTAGGATATTGGGAACTAATTTTTCCAGGTTCTCCGTAAACTGGAATGACCATTACAGGTACATTGGTGTCGTCAAAACGCGCAAAAGCCAGCTTTTTCCCGTCCGGTGAAAACCACATAGCTTTATTGGCACTGAATACTTCCTCTGTAACAAGACATTATAAAATCCAGCAACTGGATATTGGTAACTTCCCATGTATGACTTTTTCATACTGATGCAGCCGCATAGACAGAAACCTAAATACCAAGGCATTGCGACTGTTGTAAGGAACTTCAAGGCACCTCAGGCCGATTGTTATACAACCTCGACACTCTAACAATAAAGGAGTGGTCGTACTGGCCAGTTCTGGATATAGGAGGTTCGACAGACTTAAGACGGGAGGAAGAAGCCTGGCGGGTACATCTAGCTGGCTGAACGCGCGGTTACATTCTGACTCTGAGGAACATAGTCAGTTAGCATAGCGGTAGAAGAGAAACAGATTGCCGACTGTCCATCGGTGTGAAAGGAGCTCAAGAACATCAGTGAGAGTCAGTCTTTGAACAGAATCAAGTATGGACAGTATAGTCGTGTTATCATCAGTAAAGCTGTGATGGATTGATCATAAAAGAGAAGAGGTGATTCAGTCGGGAATAATTGCGTTGACATTGTGGGTTGAAGTAGCGAACCCGTCAATAACGACAGGTGTATTGCGGCCGGAGAGGATGCCGCAAAGCTTTTCTGGGAAGCCATAGGATATCATTTTGCAGGTCTCCGAGTAAAGTACTATCAGGAGTAAAGCTGTGGATTGGATTGATCGTAAAAGAGAAGAGGTGATTGATATGAGTTGGCATTGTGGGATGAAGAGGAAAACCCGTCAATTACGACCGATGCTTTGCGGCTGGAGAGGTATTCAGTTATCGATCCGCACAACGACATGAGCCTCACCTTATGACTGGATAAGTTTACCCCACATTTGTGTGACTTGAGATAGGATGTATATACTATATAACTACTTAAGCCTTCCAAAAGGGCTAAGATAACGCCTCGTTAGATTGCTAATGTCAGAAGACCTCTTTTTATGCTTGCACTGCAACCCAAAAACAGACGATTAATCAACTTTTTCCATAACTATTACTGTTAACGTAAAGGATCCAGTACTTTAATGTGTAGGGCGAAACGTGGCGGTAGAATGTCCCTATATTACGCTTGATTAGGGATACTCATCGGAGTTTCTCGTTTAGCGGAGGAACAGTACAAAAAATATTTTCCTTGGAATGTTTCGTGCTATTGGGGTAGTTTGACCTCCGGAAGGAGATGCTACCCTAAGGGTTGATTTAGCACCGGAACGTGTCTTGACAGGGAGAATATTCAAACATTAGGCTGGATTACCGCAAGAGCAGTGATCGGGATTAAAGGATTTTGAGATTGAATAACCATTCACAGAACACTTTCTTCATAAAAACAAAAACTGAGCCGTACCCCAGTACAGTGGCTCAAATTACATGTGTGTTTTTGGACCATCTAGACAGAAACTTGTTGACAGAACTTTCTCTTTTTGCTGACGTTTAGGCGTTTATTTTATGAATTCAACATGGCTATCAAGTACACCCTGACACACAACAGGAGAATCTTTTGGTGATAACATTGAAAAATTTGTGTTATCAAGCTGAAAAACATTTTTTGAAAATACTTTTTCTAGATACCCTGAATTTAGGAGAACAACGTTTCGCCGTTTACACATACTTTTTTGCACATACTGCTTTTGTCCGTCCGGGCAAAAATAGCAAACTATGGACAACTGTTTCGTGCTTTTTGTTTACTCATCAGTACGGTACAGGCTTGGTTTATCGTCTCCGGACAACAAACGAAACCGAAGCAACTACCTTCTATCCAGGAGCTACGATCTATCAAAATAAGGTAGCGAAACACGCCATCTTATTACCAGAATCAGTACTACCTGTTCGCAGTGGTCGATTTTCGTAATAAATGGCGGGCTGCGCTTTCCTATTTCCATACATTTTTTTACTATAGCTTTTTGCCTTGGGGTTTTACCCGCGGAAAGCGTAGGTCGCGTCACTTATACATACAGTTTAAATTGTATGAAGTGGCGAGTGACAGGCAGTGCAAAATAAAACGAATGCAGGCCGCGCTGTTGCCGGCTTGACGCTGACGGTGAAGATTTTGGTACTTGCCGCGTCAGTTGTTACAAAATCGACAATGAGTTATCAGA